AGCCAGCATACGATTTCACTATATTGCGACTATGAATACACTTCGATAGTGCCACCATGATGAACGAAAGAATCGCTACAGTCATAAATGATTGTGATTGTCATGGATCAAAGGACATCATTAAAAGCATCTTGCAGTGACAGACAGGGTTCTGCATATTATCATCGTTATGAGGCGGTAAGATAAAAATAATAACCTGTCAATCAAAGAGATATGATCTCACCGGCTAATCATTCACTAGCATGTATCAAAAGAACTCATCAGAACAATATAGAGTGATGACAGAGAATCTGGATATGATTATGTCAGGATGCCGGTACAATGAAAGAGATAGCCGGTCAGATGAAAGAACAACAATATCACCAGATCATCATCATTATCGTAGATCAAAAGAATTTAACAAATAAATATAAAATCAACACTAATGAAACATCTGCCATCGATTAGTCCACTATCGAGTATAAATACCGATGCATTTACTATAGTAAATCATTCCATCTACCGCCCAGGTATTGGTAACGTTGCTTCTGTGGTATGTCCATCCAAAATACGTATCATGGCATTGGATTATCTGAAATTTGCTCTACAAAACTTCTGAAAATCCATACTCCAATAAATGTTGTTGTATCTCATCACCAAGCATTTAAATTGCAAACAAGAAGAGAAGAATTCAATCTGCTAAAGTAAACTGTATAATTACTATCGAATATGTAAACCGAACCGATGTGGTAACTGATCCGTTAGGGAATTTTGAAAATTGACAACTGATATACAGTATATGACTGGCATTTGGATGCGAAAAGTTTTGCATATAATCATAATAAACAGAAAAAATTCTTTGAGCGTTAATTTTTGTTGTAGCAGTTTACTGAAAATAAACTATTTCGGAAAATGTTTCAAAAATCATTACGTTTGTATACAATATGTCAATTGTAGTTTTTAAAAATAATTGTATAAATTAGTGTGGATCGGAATAGACGAACTATCATTTATTTTTAATATTGATTTATCAATATATTATCAGTTGCATTAAATTTAAAAAGAAGAAGCGATAGAAGTTATAAGCAGTCGTAATAATTTATGCAGAAACTTTAATTCTCACAGTTGTTCTTTTAATTATATTGAAGTTCATTTTTGTCAAAGAAACAGACACACAGTAAGTACATTTGAGATCATACTGCAAGAGACCATAAAACTTTATCTTTCATAGAGTAGCATGGTAAAATCCATAGAACTGGTGAGAAAAATACTAATGAATCCAAAACATGAATTACTAAACAGAATAGATAATTCTTAATTCTTCAAGAACAAACTTTTTCTTCACAGACAATTAGTTGTGAAATCACTCTTTTTATTTCTAAAGCTCAGCAGCACTGCATAAAAATCGCATGATAAGCAAAAAAATTTTTCGTTTATTAAATATTACAAACTTTAGATTCTATTCAAGTATCTTTGAATTCAATATGTTCTGATTGCAGTCATTCTAATTGATCTCACCATTCACTGTTATATAAATCACAGGCCTACACTCACTAGTTATGTCACTTCGATAGAACTCATGCTATTTCGTTTAGTTGTATAAAGAGTATTGACTGTAAATTTAAAAAAAAAGAAAATTAAAAGTGATAAAATTTTGTTAAAAGGAACGAAATTCTCAGATTTGATTTTTTTCACTCCCAATGTAGTATCCCTAAATTGAAATAGTAGGATTTCTGCTTCAGGTTCAAAATAGAATAGTCTCAACGACTTTGAATGGTAATAGTGAAAACATTTCGTCGTGTTTCGTTATTGTTCGTTTTCTACTTGTTAGGTTGACTTTTTTTTATCATTCGTTCTCTGTTCTGTCTATTTAGATTCAATTAATCAATCATTCTTCTAATTCACTATCATTCTCATTCTCATTTTTTTTTCTATCATTAATTATTCAATCTGCTTACTGCCTTCTTTTTTTCATCTGAGCTTATTTCGTATATTTTATTCTATTTTTTGCCATCGTGTAGTTTGAAAATACTCATTCTGCTAACGATAAATTTTGAGAAAATGGCCATCATTCTTCATTTTCGTTACTATTGTTAATGTTATGAAATTATTATCATCATTTCGATAATTTGCCATACTTTTATTTTCGTTTTTCATATGTGTTTCTTTTGTTTTATCAAAAGTCAGTTGAATTGATAGGCAAGCGAGTAATACGTTTTCATGATTGTTTATGAGATTTCTCGCTCTCGTGACGAAGTATAAGAATATGTGATATTGCTTATTGGAATTAAATAATAAGAATATAATAAACTCTATTAGCGTGTAAGTTTTATTGGATAGTATGACTATTTTGATAGAATGATTTAATATCAAAAAGAAACTTAAACGATCAATTTCAACTTCTTCTATATAAAAATCTGCGTGTTGTACATAGTCAGAATTACTTTCTAGTGACGTGATGAACAGTTTCACTAAAGCTTTTTTACTTTTTCTGGCTGTAAATTTATTTGAGAGAAAAAGTACATCCTCTGACTTCACTACTAAGTGATTGTAACAAAAAATGAAGTACGTGATAATCGTTCGTTTTTTTATATAAATGTGACGATAGAACTAAAATAAGGAGTTATATCATATTTTATTTTAAAGAAACGCCATCACAAATCCTCAGACCCCATGAATAACTATTTACAGAATTGAGATACAGATTAACCAGAGAGTAGTTGTGTTATATGATCATTGATTAATTGTTTGAGAATTATGTAAATATATATTAGTGATGTGCTTGATTCATACGCATCAGTAAAGAAAAAAACATTTATTCAAAAGGTAAGCAGAGATATGGAGCTGTATACGACAGAGTCAAAAACTTTTCTTTTTATAATAGATCTATATACTGAATATCATAGTGTCTATTTTGATTGAACCATCTTATTAGCAAATTTTCGATATACTATAACTGAAAAACTACTATTTCAATCAAAAATCAAGTGATATTTTGTTTCAATTAAATGCATTATTTATTATGTCTTTGACGACTTCAATTCTTTCTCTTTGCTGTTCTGGTGCCATCAATTCAATCAGATTCTTTCTCGTAAGTATATTCGAGTCTGGTCTTTTGACTGGTAATACAATCGTAGGTATGACGAATACAAGTCTGATCTTTTGATCAGCAATACGATTCCATGCGTGCCGAATACGAGTCTATTCCTGGCAAATTATTTAAAACAGGAAAAACTGAATTTATGGGATGATTTTTTCACATTTGTATGTGAATATCTCGATGTGGCTCTATTTCTTGGTAAAACAGAAATAATAAATGTATCTTTTTTACATCAATAGAAAATGAATTCGTGAATTAGAACAGAAGCAAGCTTAAGTACGAATGGAATCGAGAGAGTAAATCCTTCAAAAAGGGTATACTAAAAAAGAGAGAAATCATGACGTTATTCTACAATGGCATAAAAAACAGAATGCTTAAAAAGAATGTATATGAGACAGAAAAAAGATAAGTACGAAATGGCAAACGNTATATATATCAATACATAAAAGGAATATACATCAAAGATCACACATTTACAAATTTTAACACATTTACAAATTGAAACACATTTTAAATTAATTCGAATTAATTTAAAGAAGTTCGAAGAACTTGTTACGGTCCATAAAATAGTCCTTTTCGGACTTAATTATGTGTTGTATTGTGATTGGTTGTAGTATGTAGAGTTTATTAAGTTGTTGTATTGTTGTTTAGGTTATGTTGATAATGTATTGGTGTGATATTGCAGGTTATTGAAATACTTTTAATTTGAATTTTACGTCGTTAATTGCTTGTCCATGAGTTTCTTCTGTGCATAGACTTTCTTTAACTATTCGACGTTTCCAGTTGGTTTCCAATGCTAATGTTTCTGATTCATCGAATTTAAAGGAATGATTTTTGTCATGTACATGTTTTGCTATATTTGATGTTTCTGAACATTTTTTGATGTCTTTTTTGTGTTCTTTTAACCTTGTTCTTTTTTCTCTGTTAGTTTCTCCTATTTAACAATTTTCGCAATTGTTACATTTTAATTTATAAACTAATTTTTTTGTTTTTTTGGTCTCATCATGACCTTTTTGAATTGGAAGAAATATACTTTTTAGTGAAAAAGTTTTACGAAAACCAATTTGTACGTGACAAGTTGGAATGAAGTTTTTACAAATTTTCTTTATTTTTTGTGTTAGTATTAATGATTCATTACCATAATATGGTAAGATGAAGTATATTTTCTTTTTTGTTGGTGGTTGTTGTGTTAGTTCTTTTTTATTATTCATTTTATTTACTATACAATTGGCTTCACGTATTCCTCTTTTTATTAGGTGCATGGGATAGCCATTGTGTATTAATGTAGTTTTAAGTGTATTAAGTTCTGTTTCTTGATGTGATATGGTTGAACATATAAGTAATATTCTTATGACTAATGTCCGTATTAGTCCTATTTTATACTGTCTACTTTGGTTGCTTTCATAAAGCATGTATAAATTTGTATTTGTAGGTTTTTTATATAAAGTTGTTGTATATTTATTATTAGTTTTATCTCTTATGATTAGAACATCGAGAAATGCTATTTCATCATCTTCTTCGTTTTGAAGTGTGAACTTTATGTTCTTATGCCATTTATTAATGCTTATTAGAAATTTAGAAATTTTTTGAGAATTATGGAAAATGCAAAATACATCATCTACATATCTTTTCCATATTAGAGGTTTATTTATGGAAAATTTATTTAGTTTTAATTCTAATTTTGATATGAATATATCAGCTAAGATGGGTGCAAGTGGAGAACCCATTGCCACTCCGTCTTGCTGGATGTATGTCTTATTTAAAAATCGAAATGGCACTTCACAAACAGCAAATTCTAGAAGTTTTTTAAATTGTGTACGATTAAAAGGAATTATTGTGGCTCCTTTGTTTTTTTCTTTTTTGAATAATATATCTAGTGTTTCTTCTATTGCTTCATGTACTGGTATGTTGGTGTATAGATTCTCGATGTCAAAACTTACCATTGTTTGGTAATTACTGTTTGTAATGTTTTTTATTTCTTTGACAAATTCAAAGGAATCTTTTATATATGACATCGACTTTGTTGGTCGATTATTTTTTATAATGTTAGAAAGGTATTTAGATAGTTCATAATTATATGCTCCCACGGATGATATTATTGGCCGTAGTGGGTAGTTTAATTTATGAATTTTTGGCTGTCCATATAGAACTGCTAGTGATGAAGAGGTTGAGTGTAATTGATAGAATAGTGCTTTTTCTATTAGTTTTTCTTTTTTTAAACTTGAAAGATATGCATTCATTGCTTTTTCTTTTCGTATAAGTGACGATTCATGAGATGTTATGAATTGTTTTAATTTTAGAATTTCATGTATCTTTTCTATGTAGTCTTTTTTATCTAGAATAACTATAGCGTTACCCTTATCTGCTTTGCTTATTATTATGTCTTGATTGTTTTTAAGTTTCTTTAGAGCAATGAATTCTTCGTCACTTATGTTACGTATATTTTTCTTTTTTATAGATGTTATAAGCTTATCTGAATAATTGTATATTTTACGACATATATTTTTAAACACTGACGGATGACAGTGTTGTTCTAGTTTTGTCGTATTGATTTCAATATCTGTTTTAAAGTCTATGAAGTTGCTTATTTTGTTTTCTATGCAGAAGTCCCAGCCTCTGCATAGAAGACGTTCTTCTTCTGGCAATAAATTATAAGAAGAATAATTGTGTATTATTTTATGTTTTAAAGTTTCATAATTTTGTCCAATTGGACCTTTGTTTAATTTTTGGAGTTTTCTTTCATGAATTTCAATAGTTAATACTTTTACTTTTTTTGTTTTTTCATGAAGAAATTGTTGTAATTGTTGAAAATCTGTTTGTTGTAGATTATTTTTAAGGTGGCTGATTAAGATTTCTAGTTCTTTCTGATATTTTATTATTTCTTTATGCCTCCTTGTATATTCTTGTTTAATACAATAAAATTGAAAATTTTTATATTGTGTAGATGTTTCTGTTTTCTTTTTCCAAAGTTTTATTTTTATAAAACTAGGTGTTAGTCTGTAAATTATACATAATCTTAAAAATTCTAGATCACATTTTCCTTTTTGTATTTTTATCGATAGTTTTTCTGTTTTTCTGATACTTAAAAATAAAACATCACCATACCTGTGGCGAGTTGCTTGCATATAATTTTGTGAAAGTGCAGATGGGAATAAATATGTAATAAATGAGTATAACACTGCAACGAAAATCATATTTCAAATTTCTTTGAAAATTTTTTTATTTTATTTCGAGCTTTCGACAATTGTCTATTGTCATCATCAGGAAATAGTATCACGACAACAAATACACCTATATATATATATCAATACATAAAAGGAATATACATCAAAGATCACACATTTACAAATTTTAACACATTTACAAATTGAAACACATTTTAAATTAATTCGAATTAATTTAAAATGTGTTTCAATTTGTAAATGTGTTAAAATTTGTAAATGTGTTAAAATTTGTA